AAACGTTACATCTCTACAGGGAGATCTCTACCATTAGAAGCCAAAGCCACTGCTTCTGTAATGAAACACAAGCAGTTTTTCAAGGTGATGTTAGCCAAAGCCACTGCTTCTGTAATGGAACACAAGCAGTTTTTCAAGGTGATGTTAACAGGCAGATCATTTTCATCAGTCAAATAAAAACTCTGTGGGTCAGAACATAGCTATGAAAGGAAGCATACTGTTGAGAGTGCAGATTGAAAAGAGAACCTCAAAGACGGGAAGTCTGAGCTGAACAGTTCTTACCTTTCAGGATCTCTATATGGTAACTGGGAAACATAGTTTTTTACTTTGCTCTTGTCTGGAAAAGGATTTTCTATTACATTAGACTGCTTGGCTACCCTGCTCGCATTATTACACATCAGCAGTTCCAAGACCAAGAGTGAAAACATCAGTGTTTAATCTGCATTAATAGAGATAACTAGACACTCCTGCAAGTCAGAAGATTTTACGTAGGACAACTTGGCTACCCACTCCACTACCAGAGTTTCAGCCAATTTCAGCTGGAAACACTTGGTCTACGTAATTATTTCGGCTGTCTCTGACAGGCATCTATCCTCAACCTGCACCCCTAGCAGACATAATGGTCTAGTGACAGGGAAGCAGGAGGCTGCAGAGAGGGAGAGCGACATCCAATGTGTAAGAAAGTAGGTGAAGGCAGATGAGTAACACCTGGGCAGGGAGCAGAGGCCAAGCTGGGCCAAGACGGCAGGACCTCAGCTTAAAAGGGGAGGAAGAGGAAGAGAACTCATTGTCCTCAACATGGCTCCACCATGACCAAGAGGAGACATGGGTGAAAGAAGCACCTTCAGTAGAGCTACCAGAGGCAAGAAGGAAGGAGGAAGAGGAAGAGAACTCCTTGTCCTCAACAGATACAGAGGGAAAGCAGTGAGTGAAGACAGCAAAGGAACAGGACCCCATATTCTGTACTCTTGAGGAAGACTGCTCACTGATAGTTGAGAATCGCCGGACAGGGAAATGGGTCCAGTATAAGCACACGAAGGAACAAGGACACAGTTGAGGTGTGCTGCTCTTCAGCTCAATGACAACCCACTGGAGACAGAAGAGACCCAAAGGAAACCAGGCTCCACCATGACCAAGAGGAGGCATGGGTGAAAGAAGCATCTTCAGTAGAGCTACCAGAGGCAAGAAGGATTTGGGGGGACATGGGAGCCAGTATAATTCTGTCAATACTGCCCCTCATTAAAGGGTGTTAATTGGCAGAGGTCAGTGTGGAAAACTAGAGCCCAGCCACAGGCTGTGAACTGCACTCACCCAGTGACTGGAGCTCAGTCTTGGACAAGACCAGAACACAGTGAGGGACTACTGGAGTTAATTCAGTCTCCCCGCAGACTGCTGGGACAGGGTGCACCCGGCATACAACCAATCTTTGTGCCCCACTCCTTCACCTTAATAAAATCCAGTTTGAGAAGTAACAAGGATCTCGACTTTATACAGCCCTTGGCCAAAGAGGCCCTCTCTGCCATTCCAAATCTGGGCAGGGTGGTGGCTGTCACAAAGATACTAGAATTCCTGTTTTCATTTATGCTGTAAGAGAGAAAACGTTCTTGCAATCTCAAGACAGAAATCTAGTAACTTTGCCAAAGTTCAAACAGCTTTTGGGATTTTCTTTAAATTCCCTGTAGGTTATCCAACAAGACATTTTCCAGATGTACTGAACTACAACTACTCAGTAGCACTGTTTATCTGGTAATGATGTGACAGAACACCCTTTCTTATTTCGGTTGGTGGCTAACTCACGGAATGATTTCTGCTACCAACAATTACGTATTATTCTATTTATTCGCTACACGAGTAATATAATTTAAAGATACTGTACTGTATGTTCTCTGTACAGATATCCTAATGGATAGCAAGATGCCACTTCACATGCAGCATTGCAGTGTCTCCCAGGGTGCCTTGCTATACTGGCCTATAAGGCACATGGCTCCTTCTCTCACCTTGAAACCTGAAACAAGTGAAAAAGAGTGGGACAGCAGTAGGGAAACCTCTCCTTTGCTTGTTATTTTTTATTTTTTACCTACTTCCGGAATTATGTTTAGAAGAAAGAATTCAGGGGTTAAAGTTATTGGAATCTCTAGAACCTCTTGCAAAAGCATTTCAACCCTTTCCCAATATTTTTGGGCTTTCCTGCATGACCACGACATATGGTTAAAACCTTCTTTTTGTTTATATCTCCAACAGAGGTTTGAATTTTTACCTCAATTTTGGCTCATTTTGTGGGAGTTATATACCATCTGTAGTGGACTTCGGAGCTGGTGGACTTCGTCTCCGCGACACAGTAAATTTTATATTGTTTTTCCATTTTTGTTCCCACTGATCCAAACTGATACTGTGCCCAACATTCTGTGCCCACCTTATCATACATTCCTTAACCACCAAAATTTGGATCCTAACCACTGACTACAAGCCTAGGGCAGAAATCTATTAAACCATCATTCTTTAACTTTCAGTCCAAACATGCATTCAGAATTTACTTTTTGTATATAGCATATACAGTATCTCTATAGTAGTAGTACTGCTACTGTAACCCACTGGAGGCTAAGTAGAAACCTAACAGTGAGACAACCCACTGCTGAATAGAAAGGTCATATTACTAAGTATGTATACTATAATGTTTGGATTGGCATGTCGAATAAAATTGAATTCATTAATATAATATACACCCTGCATTCAAACTCTAATAAACCATTAAAATGCTGACAGAAATACACCAGTCTCCTTTCCTCCTTACGTTTATAAAGTTGGTAAAGACCAAGTTTTAAGTTTTGTGTAAACTTCCCAGAGTAGAGCATACGCTAATGGAGTGGTATATAAATTGAATAATAAGTAAATACAAACAAAGAAATTGACTTACATTCAAGTAGCAAGCTTAGGTTTGTTGATTTTAATGTTTAGACCTAATGCACCAAACGGCAAACTGCAGTTTTTAAACAACCCCCTCAGAAGAAATGGATGCATAGTCACTTTAATATATTCTAAATAAATAGCAGCTTACAGTTAATAATAATAACTGCAATTATTCTCTCTCCCCCTCCATTTCAAATATATTAAAAGTTGAGAACCTAAAGCACTAAGGATATTGCTATATAAAAGGTGTTACAAAAACATTTTCAAACTTTTAGGAGGATCACTGAGTACACTTATCCGTGAAGTACTTCCAAAGTATACATTTTCTGAACAGAAATCAGAAAGTTACCAAAATATAGTACTGTACAGTTTATCATTTATGAAGATGAATGGAAAATTATTTCTCCAGGAGGTTCCTTGCCCTTTGAACGGTCAAACCAAACTTCATTGTCCTTTATCCCCACAGGCAACTCTAGAGGGGCTGTCTACCTCATTGTCAGCAGAATGGTCACCTTCCAAGGAGAGGCTGACCCTGGGGAGATCTCCCTAGTATGGAAGGTACAGGGGTTGACCCAACACTGGGACCGTCCAGGATCCCTTCACATGGGGGCTACCTTGGCTTTATTTCATTCATTAGCCAATTCATGTAATGACTCCATCTATCAAATGACAATTTTTCTGCCTTATTTTATTTATACTGGTCAATCAAATATTTTGAAATTAATTAAGTCAGTTTCCAAACAAATGTACTTACTTTTAATCACAGCATATTTTACATATAAAAAATTTAATTAAAGTTATCTGTACACTGAAAGTTAACTCTAATGGTCCATAATGCATCTGTGGTATATGTAGTTATGTTGTTTTGGCTAGTTTCAGTAAAACAACACTGGTAACAAAATGTGTTTTTCTCCTTGCAATTTAAAATGCTGTGGAACTGTAAAGCTGCAAAAAGAAGGGACTCATCACTCACTAAAAATCTTATTGGTATTACATAGCATAATCCAGAAACTACAGAAATCGTGCGCACATTATTGCCAGCTGTCTATTGCATGCCTGGATATGACAGGGTTGCACACCCAAACACGTGACAAATGTTCTGCAAAATGCAAAAAACCACATGTGTGATTGTCCTTATGCGAACAGTATTTTGTAACAGAATTTTGGCCATGAAACTTGGGAATGGAGCATTGTTTAGTGTGGAAAGGCATCAGAGCTGTCTTTTAAGACTGGAAAAACAAGCACTCAATTTGCAACGTTCATTGTCCTGTTTTGTGTGAAAGTAGTACAACTGGGACTGTACTGTATCTCTGCTTCCCCAGCAAACCACCCTTTAAAGAAAGACATACAAAAAGTAATCTTGCCTGCAACTGTTTTTCCCTCCACTGAAAGTAAGTAATTAAATAATTCAGTTATGAAATTCCCATTTATGGCTATGGAAATTCCCATGTGGCAACAGAAAATAATCCCAGCCTTCTAGGAAGAAAGATGTGAGGGACAATAGATCACTTCATACAAGTTGGTGCTTGTGCTTTGGTATAACTTGATATACTGTGTCGAATAATGGCATCACCTGCTTTGGGGACCGCATGGCCTTTTTCTAATTTTTTTTTTCCTGAACTATGAAGGAATCAGCGGTTTCTCTCCTTGTCCTTTCTATGCCATAAAATAAAACAGCATAAGTCTTTACTAAAATCTCCAAACCGTGTCAGAGGAGCATAATATAATAGCATGGAGAAAGACAGCTAAGAGAAGTGAGTGAAACCATGGCTCGTCAGGGCTTTGAACCTGGGTTCTTCTGGGTCAGAGTCCATCATTTCCCCCCTTGTACCACTTTGGTACTCCTGCTTTAGGACTGAAATGAAAACTGCTCCAACTCCTAATTCTGCACATGAAATGATGTAGGAACCGAGGTAACGTTTCCTGAAAATAAAGATGATGAGAGGGGGAAAAAATTCTTCTCCTTATCATTCATTCTTTAAGAACACAGAACCCAAGCAGGAAAAATTATCGCCAAATTTAGGATTTCATTTTGGCACCTGGAAGGCAAGTTTACTACATGGACGTAAGAGAAGGCGGCGAGATGGAGAAACCTGTTAAAGACGAGCCGGACTTGCCCCCTAGACTGCGAAGCCCCGCTTCTGACGTTAAAGGGGGTGAGGGGTGAGGGGAGCGTTTCGAGGAGGCAGGGCTCGCCAAAACCCCACATGAGGGAGAAGGCAGTCTGCGCAGGCGCCGCCGGCGACTCCGACCTTAAAGCCGCGACGGGCAGAGCCTGTACGTCACCGATTGC